GACTTCCTCTGCTGAGGCCACTGCTGGCTGGCGAGTCCCTTGATTGCTACCCTGTGAACTGCCCTCTGCTGAGTGCCCGGACCTCCTGCCTGCCAGAGCTGCCTTCTGCTGTGTGCCCTGATTACCCTGCCTGCCAGCCTGCCCTCTGCTGTGTGCCTGGACATACCCCATTGTACCCATGCCTGGACCTACCCATTGCTGGCCAGCCTGCCCTCTGCTTTGTGCCCGGATTACCCATTGCCTGCCTGAACCCCCCTTGCTGTGTGCCCGGACCCCATTGCCCGCCTGCCTGCCCTCTGCTTTGTGCCCGGATTACCCATTGCCTGCCTGAACTGCCCCCTGCTGTGTGCCCAGACTTACCCAATGCCTGCCTCAATTGCCCCCTGCTGTGTGCCCAGACTTACCCAATGCCTGCCTCAACTGCCCCCTGCTGTGTGCCCAGACTTACCCATTGCCTGCTTGAACTACCCTCTGCTGTGTGCCCGGACTTACCCATTGCCTGCCTGAACTGCCCTGCTGTGTGTGCCGGACTTAACCCTTGCTATACCGATCAAGTGCCCCCCCAAATCCCTCAATAAAAGCCTTGTGTTTCCACTGCTCTCCGCTTGTGTTCTGTCCCACCTACACCTCCGTCACAGAAACCCAAGAACAAAACTATAATATACTGTAACTTATCAGTTCTTAGAGGTGGTTTCTGCATTAATTTTCTTATTTTCTTTCCAGACAATGCTGACTGGCTGTACTGTATCTATGGAGTAACCCCTAGTTGAAGGTTACAGAACACCTTCCCCACAGTTGCCAACATTTAAGAAAAATTTTTAGGAACACTTTTTTTCCTGTATGTCCAGAAAGACCGTGAAGGCGGAGCAGTATGTTAAATAGGGGTGGGGCATCCATTCTTGGGTGTGGCCTAACACAAAAAAGTGGAGTGCTTTGCGCGCCGTAACAAACAATGTGTGTGGTTTAACTTACACTAAATATTGGGCGTGGCTCAAAGGGGGTGTGGTTAAATAGAGCCTGAGATTCTCTTGGGCTCTCCCCATGCAATTTTGCTCTCCACCCCAACATCTCAAAAATAAATACACAATCATAAACTTATCTTAAAAAAACTTAATGGAAACATGAAGAACTGGTTCACACTCACTGATTGGTTGCTAGAGGTTACAGTGCATCATTACCGCTCACTGATTGGTTTCTAGAGGTTACTGCAGTTAGTACAGGACTATGGTCTGAGACTGCAGGCGTACTACAGGAGAGAGTCGGACTGCAGGTGTAGTACAGGAGAGGGCCAGAGTACAGGGGTAGTATAAAGGAGGGTCAGAGACTGCAGGAGTAGTACAGGAGAGAGTCAGAGACTTTGGGTGTAGTACAGGAATTGATCAGAGACTGCAGGGGTAGTCAGGGGCGGACTGACAACACATAGGGGCCCCCGGGCAACAGGGGATCATGGGGCCCCTGTATCCTTGCCCACACTCAAACCACACCCAAAAAACCTATGAAAAGTACCAGGGGCATCTCATGGGGTCCCTTACCGACCCGGGCCCTCAGGCAGTGCCCGAGTTTCCGAATGGTCAGTCCACCCCTGGGGTAGTACAGGAGAGGGTCAGAAAATGCGGGGGGGGGGGGGGGGGGGGGGGTAATTATGACCTGAGAGGAGCTAATGTTTTGAGGGGGAGGGGGAGAAGCAGGTGAGGGTTGTCTCGTTTGGCTGTGATGGAGAAGTGAGTCTTTTGTGTTTGTTTTTGGGTGGAAGGGGAAACATTACCCCCCCAAAACCTCCACCCGCTGCTCCCCCCCACAAAAAAAAGCTTGCTCCTGTCTCAGGCCATAAACCTCTCTGTTGTGTCTTCCTGTCTGCAGGCCTCCTGAGTCCTCTCTGCCCAACAAACAGGTGTGTAGGAGCCCGCCCTGCCGCAGCTTCCTCTCTGCCTCACACATGCTCCCTACAACTGTAGAGGCTAAAGGCAGGCTGAAGAGGTCACCCCTCAGCTGGCCACACCCCCTCACAGTCGCCCAATCAGGAACGAGAGGCGGGCATCAGCAGGCATCACATGACTCCCTGACATTTTTGATTGGCAGTCCCAGGAAGGGAGAGGTGATCAGACACTGGACAGGCTCAGAGGATATCGGTGTACAGCATCGCCAGCAGCAAGCAGCCGTATCAGTGTGACAGGACAGAGCTGACTGTCCAGGACAAATCTAAATTTTTGGGACTATACCTGGGACAAGAACTCTTCACCACCCCATAACACACAATGGAGGAGTTTTGTATTACACAGAGAGAATGCTGAACAATGCTGACTGATAACAGTTAGCAGAGGCTGATAGTACAGGAAATGATCAGCTTGCAAGATTTTTGCCAGATTCAATTGCATATATTTATATTTCAATATTTTTTTATTAAGAGATTGCAAAATGACAATTAGATCAGTTAAACAGAGGTCGTTTCACAGAATATCATTATGACAGAGATTTGAAATTCCACATCTGATTAGAAACCTTAAGGTGAATCATCGGCAGATGAGCAAACAATCTTATTATCTCAGATATATATGCAATTAGTGTCAGTGTATAAATAGTCAATGAGTTTGTTAGCTCTTACGTGGAAGCACTGACTAGGCTAGATACTGAGCCATGTGGATCAGAAATGAACTGTCAAAAGTCCTGCGTAACAAGGTAATGGAATATTTATTATGACTATTTATACACTGACACTAAATGCAATTTAAAAAGCCACATATGTGGGACATTGACCTCTAATTGGCATTTTAACCCGTGTGTGTCACCTTGTGTGTCTGTACGAAGGCCAAACATTCCAGGGTATGTAAACTTTTGATCATGGCCATTTGGGTGATTTCTGTTATCATTATGATTTAAAAAGGAGCCAAACAACTATTTGATAATAAATGGCTTCAAATGATCATCATCTTTCAATAAAAGAGCATTTTTTTGGCAAGATCAGTCATTTTTTCAATATCAATGACAAAATTTCTGCTAGGGTGTGCAAACTTTTGAGCACAACTGTATTTAACCATTTGCCGACTGCCCTATGGCCGAATGGCGGGCGGCAAATGTCATCAGTGGGTGGGACGCCATATGGCGTCCTCCTGCACATGCGATTGCGCTCCTGCAGAGCGGCGCAGTGGTGCGATCTGTCACCGGCCGTGTACCTCGGACACAGCCGATGACAGATCTGAGTATCGGCCCCGTTGCCGGTACCATGTGACCTGCTGTGACCAATCACAGCAGGTCACATGACAGTTGTATACAATGGATGGCTTCATTCATGCCATCCATTGTATACTAGTGTCTAGCTGTGAATGGTCACAGCTAATCACATGCACATGTCATGTGATTAGCTGTGAATGGTCACAGCTAATCACATGCACATGTCATGTGATTAGCTGTGGCCAAATCACAGCTAAGCACAAACCCCCCCCCCCCCCCCCCCCCCAAAAAAAAAAAAAAAAACCCTGAATGAATCCATGTCATTCAGGTAAATGCTTGCTTATAGCAAAGTAATTCTTTGCTATAAGCAAATTGTGTAAAAAAAAAAAAAAAATACTGATCACTTCCCCAAAATAGTACAATGACACTATGGTAACATTGTACTACTTTGGTCATAGGGAAATATGAAAAAAAAATCTCTTAAAAAAAAAAATTAATAAAAAATAATATATATATTATTAATATATATTAATAAATAATATATATTTTTTTTTTCATACTGTCACCACTCAGTGTCCCTGATCACCGCCATGCCAGTTATATGATGATGCTGTAGTGCACTGGTGACAATATGTAAAAAAAAAAATAGTGAAAGTAATTTTTTTTAAATTTTTTAATTTTCCGAAAAATTATGACAAAAAAAATACAACTTCAAAAAACTCGCCATGCCTCTTATGAACTACGGGACTGTCTACTTTGCAAAAAGGGGTCATTTGGGGGATATTTGTACTGTTCTGACATTCTTGGACCTCAAGAAATTAGATTGGCTGTCAGTACTTCAGGATTGATCAATATTCAGATCTATACCATAGTTTGTGAACTCTAGAACTTTCCTACAAACTAAAAAATACATCCTAATTTGGGTTATTTTCACCAAAAACATGTAGCAGAATACATCTCGGCCTAAATTTATGAAGAACAATTATTTATTTGCAAACTTTTATAACAGAAACAAAGAAAAACTTTTTTTTTTCAAAATTTTTGGTCTTTTTTTGTTAATTTAGCAAAAAATAAAAACCCCAGTGGTGATTAAATACCACCAAAAAAAAGCTCTAGTTGTGTGAAGAAAATGATAAAATTTTAGTTTGGGTACAATGTTGTATGACCGTGCAATTGTCATTCAAAGTGTGAGAGCGCTGAAACCTGAAAACTAGCCTGGGCAGGAAGGTGTAAAATTGCCCGGTATTGAATTGGTTAATGGACAAGGTATAAGAGAAGTTCATTGCAGGTTTACATTTTAAAGCAGAACTTCACCCAAAAGGGGAAGTTCTGATTTTCCACCTCCTCCATTACTCCATTACCTTCGGAAACTGTTTTTTTTGTTGGGGGGGGGGGGATAACTGGCTTTGGGAGGTACCCACTTCCGCTCAGATTGGGAATCCGAGTAGTTCAGCACTCCCCCTTTGCCCGCAGCCTTCTGGGACACATCACAGGTCCCAGAAGGCTATAAGACCATTCACAAAGGGCAATGTTGCTCGTGCATGTGCAGTGGGAAGCTGGCTGTGAAGTGCCAGGGACCTGAAAACCAGTCAGGTGGGGACAGCACTGGACCTTTGGACAGGTAAATGTCTGTTTGCTAAAAATCAGCAGCAGTATTTGTAGCTGTTGACTTTTAATTTTTTTGTTCCCAGGGTGAAGATCCTCTTTAATTTTGTTTGTGTTTAAAACATGCTGTCCTCAAAGTAAATCTGACATAGAAACTGCATTGTTTTATTTTATACGCAACACTGAAGAGTAAAAAGAGAAGTAAATAGGATTTGGAAGGAACCTACTCTTTTCTCCATGTCTGATTTGCCTTGTTCAGCCTGTAAAGCCTTCCTCATGCCAAAAGCCACGCTGCTTTCATATAGAGTCTGGTATGCTGAGATGGTCATGTGAATTTCATCGCGCACCCTCAGCAGCAGGACGCCACGCTCTGCACAGTTAATTGTCACTTGTCTAATAAGCTCATCTGGTGGTATAGTAAACAAACATATAACATTTTAAAATACTAAAAACAACTATTAACTAACATACCTAAAACAGGACGTGAGAAGAAAGCTCTGTAAATTAAATGAATCCCTTGGGACCCCCTGGTCACCAGAACTAGTGTCACCATTGGAAGATTTCCTCTCTACTACTGTTCTGGGGACAACCCAAAATTGAGGATTACCTTTTACTTTTACTATCAATTATAATGGTAAACAGGACACATAGAGAGGGTGACTCTTCCTAACTAAGGCAGAGGTAGCAATAAAACTGACATGGGTTCTAATCCATTTCCACTCTGTTCAAAACTAAAAAAAAAAAAACTAAAAAAATAAAAAAGAAGTTTTGCCTTTATTTATACAAAAAAAAATAAAAAGGATTTTGCTTTAACAGTTCAAGCACCTCTGGCAGGGTTATGGGTTATCCGGACCCATGACACTTTAACTTTTATTTTTAAATGTGCAGAACACTATAGATAAATGACTTTGGATAGAAAAATGAATCCATTTACGTAATACTATTGTTACATGTATTACCCACATACAGTTATCAAAATGCAAAATGTTTCTGATAGTGGTCTTCAAAAGGCACTGCATTACATCTGTTTCTATAGATCCACGAACAGCAGACATTAAAATGTTACTAAACCCAGGACCCTGCATTCACTATATCTGGTCTCCCACAACACACAGGACATGGAAGTGCAATTATATTAGTAAATATATACTGCTAAATACCTTTTCTCATCAGCAGTTAGAGAAGTCTTGTGACTTCTGTCAGTATCCAGCAAAGCACATGTTAAAGCTTGTAGGAGGAATTTTCATTCTGCTCTTGGAGGATGCAGAACCCTTTACCTCTGTCTGGACAGCGCTGATTGGCCCTGTGCTGACCACATGCACTCTCCAAAAAAACCAAAACAAAAAACCTCTCTAGCAATAGACACCAAACTGAGCATGTGCAGAGTGACTTCACACAATATGTCTTATCAGGATAAGAGGGGGAAACTGGAAGACGGGGAGGATCAGAGAAGACAGGATCAAACAGCGTTTTTACGCAGTGCAGAAGATTAACCCCTTTGGTTCCACAGTGAGTATAACAAGCGTGCTTTACTGCATATAAAGACTGATTTTACTGCTGTGGGTTTAGTAACACTTTAAATACTTTATAATTAGCCTAAAATGTCTAATTATCTGGTGTAATGTATTTTTTTAAAGATCTTATCCCAATGCAAAACAATGAGATATGACATTTGAATTTGCCTTCTGAATATCAAGACACCTGGTAAATTGATAGTCCTCAGATAACACACACTGCATTTATTTAGTTATCAATTTATTAAAAAATGTGATGAAACTGGCATGCACATTCACTCTGTGCAAATGGGGCATAATCATTCTTATGTTATTTATTCTACAGGTCAAATGTTTTGCTATCATTAAAAACTAGCAGTTTGGAAAAATACTACATTATAGCCACTAGATGGGGGTGATGGAAATATTTATTTCCTATGATCTTCACCACCATCTAGTGACCAAAATATTGTATTATCAAAACACTTTTTTTCATGACGGAGAAACATTTTGACCTGACATAATTCAATTTTTCTCCCATTCACATAGAATGAATGTAAAAGCCACTTTCATCAGATGAATAGTCATCAGGGGCGGACTGACCATTCGGGTACTCGGGCACTGCCTGAGGGCCCGGGGTCAGTAGGAGACCCCATGAGATGCCCCTGGTACCTTTCATAGGCTTTTTTGGGTGTGGTTTGAATGTGGGCGAGGACACGGGGCCCTATAATCCCCTATTGCCCGGGGGCCCCATAAGTTGTCAGTCTGCCCCTGATAGGTATACAAATTAGTTTTTTTAATAATTAAATCCCACAGAGTATTCTTAACTACTGAAATGCCTACTCCCCTATCTAAATTAAAAGGTTGCATAACAGATACGTAAAAAGACTGTGGAGAAGCAACGAACCAAAGCATTGTGAATAGAGCTCTCTGCGCACAGGGCAGATTCCTGTCTCCCTAGCCTGCCTCTGTTGTAATTTAATATCCAGCTCTTCCTGTAAGTGGACGACATCCATCCGGGTGCTGGGGGTGCTGGACACCTGCTGAATCCACAGTTGGTTGTTCTCCATCCATTCCCTGTAAGTCAAACAAACAAATGTATTTTTTTTTTAAAGTACTGCTACCCTATGATTGGAAATCAGAGTCAGTTTCTATATGCATTGGTAGTAACATTTAATTAACAAGTAAATATTGAGACAAGTATGATGAATGCGGTGCCTGACCCCTTCTCACCAACACTGCGCTGTCACTTACAGTGGGGATCGAAAGTTTGGGCACCCCAGCTAAAAATTTGTATTAATGTGCATAAAGAAGCCAAGGAAAGATGGAAAAATCTCCAAAAGGCATCAAATTACAGATTAGACATTCTTATAATATGTCAACAAAAGTTAGATTTTATTTCCATCATTTACACTTTTAAAATAACAGAAAACAAAAAAATGGCGCCTGCAGAAGTTTGGGCACCCTGCAGAATTTATAGCATGCACTGCCCCCTTTGCCAAGCTGAGACCTGCCAGTGTCATGGATTGTTCTCAATCATCATTTGGGAAGACCAGGTTATGTCAATCTCAAAGGTTTTAAATGCCGAGACTCATCTGACCTTGCCCCAACAATCAGCTCCATGGGTTCTTCTAAGCAGTTGTCTAGAAAACTGAAACTGAAAATAGTTGACGCTCACAAAGCTGGAGAAGGCTATAAGAAGATAGCAAAGCGTTTTCAGATGTCAATATCCTCTGTTCGGAATGTAATTAAGAAATGGCAGTCATCAGGAACAGTGGAAGTTAAAGCAAGATCTGGAAGACCAAGAAAAATATCAGACAGAACAGCTCGCAGGATTGTGAGAAAAACAATTCAAAACCCACGTTTGACTGCACGATCCCTCCAGAAAGATCTGGCAGACACTGGAGTTGTGGTACACTATTCCACTATAAAGAGATACTTGTACAAATATGGTCTTCATGGAAGAGTCATCAGAAGAAAACCTCTTCTACGTCCTCACCACAAAAATCATCGTTTGAACTTTGCAAATGAACATATAGACAAGCCTGATGCATTTTGGAAACAAGTTCTGTGGACCGATGAGGTTAAAATTGAACTTTTTGGCCGGAATGAGCAAAGGTACGATTGGGGAAGAAGGGGCACAGAATTTAATGAAAAGAACCTCTGTCCAACTGTTAAGCATGGGGTTGGATCAATCATGCTTTGGGGTTGTGTTGCAGCCAGTGGCACAGGGAACATCTCACGAGTAGAAGGAAAAATGGATTCAATAAAATTTCAGCAAATTTTGGATGATAACTTGATGCCATCTGTGAAAAAGCTGAAGTTAAAGAGAGGATGGCTTCTACAAATGGATAATGATCTAAACACACCTCGGATTACATCAAGAGGCGTAAACGTTTTGCCATGGCCTTCACAATCTCCTGACCTCAACATAATTGAAAATCTATGGATAGACCTTAAAAGAGCAGTGCGTGACAGACAGCCCAGAAATCTCAAAGAACTGGAAGACTTTTGTAAGGAAGAATGGCCAAAGATACCTCAAACAAGAATTGAAAGACTCTTGGCTGGCTACATAAAGCGTTTACAAGCTGTGATACTTGCCAAAGGGGGCAGTACAAGATATTAACTCTGCAGGGTGCCCAAACTTTTGCAGACACCATTTTTTTGTTTTCTGTTATTGTGAAAGTGTAAATGATGGAAATAAAATCTAACTTATGTTGACATATTATAAGAATGTCTAATCTGTAATTTGATGCCTTTTGGAGATTTTTCCATCTTTCCTTGGCTTCTTTATGCACATTAATACAAATTTTTAGCTGGGGTGCCCAAACTTTCGATCCCCACTGTATGTAACAATGCCACTCTCAGCTGCACCCTGCACAAAGATTTTCCAGCATGTGGAACCACAATCTTTGTTTTTCTTTCCCACAAAGAGTTTTATTGGGAAAGTATAAGTATTACATACATTAAACATAACCAAAGTTAAAACAGTGTAGAACAAGGATCGACGTGAAAGTACAACAGGTATAAATCGTAAGATTAGGCATATATGTTATTGAATTAGTGGGAATTCACCTCTACAGAAGGGCGGGGGGGGGGGGGGGGGGGGGAAGGTGGAGTGGAGATAGCACAAATCGTGAAAGGCAGGTTAGGAGAGAGAGGAAGCATGGCTTGCTTGAAGAACACCAGTTCAGGAGGTTGCTCAGATCCCTTGAAGGGATATGACAATACAGAGGGGGCTTCGGGCAGAGGAACTAGGATTTAGGTGTGGGAGTTGAGCGATCTCGGAAAAGCCAATTCTACATTTGGAATCGCCTGAACATGTGTTGTGGAAAACGTGGATATAGAATGTCACTGAGGGGAGATGGGTGGGTTATTATGGGAGAGAAAGTGGGTCTGTAGTAAGGTGAGTGTCAGGAACACAAGTGTGTGACCACAATCTAGGTGCCAGCAGCATGAAAGCGATTGTTACTGGGTTAAAGCGGAACTCCAGTCAAATAAAAAAAAAGTCATCAGCTACAAACGCTGTAGCTGCTGACTTTTAAAGAACAGACACTCACCTGTCCCTCGATTCAGTGGTGTCCTCACCAGAGCCGGGTTCACCAGCCTTCCTTGCTCCCCAACGTCGGCATCTCCAGTGTGGCTGTAACAGCTTGCCTCTTCACAGCCGGGTGCCCACTGTGCATGCGTGAGTAGCGTTGCACTTTCTGAATGGTCCTGTAGTCTTCTGGGACCTGTCAGGTGTCCCAGAAGTTTATGGGAAGGGAGGACAACTTCCACTTCCAATCGCCTAGGCGATCGCAGCAGAAGTGGCAGTGGGTACTTGTCAAATTCAGGGCCCCCTCCTATCCCCCCCCCCCCACTCACCAAAAGGTGCCAATCCTTAACGGGGCGCAGGGGACAAAGCCTTAAAGTGAAACTTCCCCTTTTGGGTGGAGCTCAAGTAAATTATGCAATCAACCCTTTAAATGCCATCACCGTCTTTTTACCAAGGAGGAAGCTCACAATCTTAGCAATAACAACTATGATTTTAGAATAAATGTCTGCAACACGCATTGTCACCAGAGACAGGTATATTCAGAGATTTATACTACAGTAGCACTTCAAGAGACAGGGATTCTTTTAGTTTGCATTAAAAGCTTAAGGAACAATTTCAAACACTTTTCCAAATATGGTTTGATATTAAAAAAGGAAAGAATGGTGCAAATAGAATATTTAGAGAAAAAAAGAGTGTTACAAGGAAACAAAGAAACATTACAGCAACAGAGAAATAAAAAGTAGTTGAAAATTAAGAATATTTGCAAATCCTTTGGATTTAGCAGAGTCCAACTGATCAAACAAAAACTGTATAGTGGCTCTCTCAAGTCAACTTTTGGAGCAGTCTCTCTTTTTCTGGGGGGGGGGGGGGGGTGTGTCAGATTGTCAGAGAAGTGGCCATGGGGTTGTCACCATGTTGTTATTGTTCAGCATTATATTTTGTGTCCATTGGATGGACTTGTCACCCAGGAGATAGGAGACTACTATCTCACCCTCTGTATGTGCTAGCTTAGCCATGTATGACCTTGATTTATTTGGTATGATATTCCCTATTCAAATGTATACTTAAAGCAGAGATCCACCCAAAAGGGGAAGTTCCACTTTAATACTTTGTTCCCCGCTCCCCATTAAGGATTGTCACCTTTGGGACAAGTGACAGGTCCCAGAAGACTATGGGGCCAATCACAAAGTGCAGCGCTTCTCGCACATGTGCAGTAGGCACCTGGCTGTGAAGCCACAAGCTGTCACAGCCATGTGCCCACACTAAAGATGCTGGTGCCAGGTAGAGAAGACAGCCGGTGAAACCAGCGGTGGTGAGGACACCGCTGGACCAAGGGACAGGTAAGTGGCTGTATTTTAAAAGTCAGCAGCTACAGTTTTTGTAGCTGCTGACTTTTTTTTTTATTTGACTGGAGTTTTTTTTTTTTTTTCAGCTGGAACTCCGCTTTAATACTAATGTGTCTTGATCCTGTTTGATTTTATGAATTGTGTGTGGATTTTGCTAAGTTAAGAATTGGGCAGAGGTCTTGGAGAGGTCGCTCCATGCCTGACTGCTTTCTGGGTAAACATTTTATGGCACGCTATGTGTTCCTAGTGCTTTACTTACCCTACAAACCATGGGGTGACAGAATTGAAGGATTTTTTCATAGTTTTACGATTGGTCACTTCCAATCTCCTCTGAAAAGTGATAATGTGTAGGAGTTGATTGGGCCTGCCAGATCTCTGGCATAAGTGGTCCTTTGAAGACCCAGACCCTTGTTGACTCAGGGCACCTCTGAAACTATATCTAGGTTCTGGAATAGAGGAGGTGGGGGGTTTATCAGAGCTGCCAGACCTCTGGTTTTAAAAACAGAAAAGAAAATGACAAATACAATGTAATGGCTGAATTCTGAACAACATGGCTGCTAGACACATATAGCCTGTCGTGTGCCCAGTCCGCACAACCATCACAACAAGTACAACTGATCACGGAGATACTAATACCATCTACTAAATAGCAGCATAAATCTCAGTCCTTAAGTAACTCCAACATACCAGGTTTTGGTTCCCTTAGCTAAAATATCAGCCATATATACCAAGCATTGATTTAAATCAACTTTTGAGGTTGAAGGAAATCCTGAAAATATGACCTGCTTTGGGGATGGGGGGGGGGGGGCATTCACTCAATACACTAAAATCTGATAGTATTACATTACTGTATCAAGCCATTTCACATACATTTTGTCCCTAGTGCTTTGTCCTGTGCCCTGCCTGCATTTTTACTGTTCTTTCTGCCTGGAAACTGAGAAATGTCCATGGCATCCAAAAAGCGTCCCTTTAGGTCAAAAGCGGTTTTTAGCCCAGCTAGAGAACAGAGATAGTAAATTAGAACCACTTGCAGAATTGAGTGATAATGATTTGTGAGGAAATTTGTCATCAGACACTGAAAACAATTCTGCGACTTTGCTCAGTGATGTGCGAACTTGGTGCTCTATTTCAAATTTCAGTGTTTTTGGTTTGATTACATTATTGAATTAAATTTATTATATTATTATTTTTTATGATTATTTACTATATTATAATTTATGATTTCAAATTTTATCATACCAAGGATGTTTACTAGACTCTTGTTCGAACAGATTTCAGTGAGTTATTCCTAAGAATTACAGGCCTACAATAAAAAAACAACATATTTCCATTAAAAACAATGTACCGATTTGAACACAGAAATACTGACATAAATCAGACAACTAGGGAGGTTAAGAAAAGGGACACCGCGAGAATCCAGAATGTCGGTTACAGTAAACACTTGAAACATATTTATTTGAGGTGCTGGTAATGTGTCATTCGTGCAGCATTTAGTTTTTTGTTTTTATAAAGAACCCTTATATGAATGCTGCCTGACTGTTGCATTATATTATTGCTGTATAATAATATGATGGCTGTACAAGAAGAAATAAAATGAAGCTTACCGTGGTGGTAGGATTGCATTTAAAATTTCTTCTGCTGGCTTCGTTACATCAAGTGGTGGTGTTTTTGGCTTGGGAGGTGGAGGTACAGGTACAGCAGATGTGCCAGTTTGCTGAGGAATGGCTTTCAACGCACGAGACTAAAAAAAGAAAAATGCTAAAGATGAACTCTTGGCAAGCAGCTAAATATGCAGTTGAAAAACATGGATACCAATTGATATGACAAATGATTTGTACTATGATCAGGCAGTCTTGCGATGCAGGCACCACTTTCAGCCAGCACAGTCAGGTCTTATGCAAGCCACACATGAGTCGAATTCCGAGCGATTTTTCTCTACGAAAATCGAAAACGTTGTTCGCTCGGTAATCCAATGGTGCCATCAATGATTTTGAAAATCGGCCCGACCAAGTCATAAAGTTCACCCCATATAACAGGTGAAACTTCTGTTCCTTCCAGGTCACGGCTCATGCGCATATTCTTTTTGGAAAAATGATCGTACGATTTGACAATCATTGATTCGAAAATCGGTCATTTTTCACGAAATTACCAACATGCCCGATCACCGAAAAGGGGAGGAACCATGAAAATCGGCCGGTGCCATTGGCCCACTAACAGAGCGCAAATTGGCCGATTATTCTTAGGTTCGATTTTTGGATGAAAAAATCGGTCGAATTTCGACCTGTGTATGGCCGGCATTAGCATTTTGCAGTCAGCTGATTGCACAATGAGGTAGCACATGCAGCAGGTGATATCATATCTCTGCTCGCTCTGCTTTCTCCCCCTGTCAGCAAATTCACTGACAATACATATTGGTTGTTAGTGCTAGCTCCCCCTACTGTACAACACAATACTGGAGGTGGATATCGGGAAAAAGAACACAAAAAGGAGAAGAAGCTCGAGTTGGACTTTAAAGTGAAGCTGACATGCCCTAAAGCAGTGGTTCTCAACCTTCCTAATGCCGTGACCCTTTAATACAGTCCCTCATGTTCGGGTGACCCCCAACCATAAAATTATTTACCCAGTAATTATAATTCATGAGTGTCGTTTTACCTCCAATACTGCTGCTTTCAACACAGTAGCTGCTTTCAACAGAGTAGCTGCTTTCAACACAGCAGCTGCTTTCTACACAGTAGCTGCTCTTTACACATCGGAAATATGTGTTTTCTGATGGTCTTAGGGGACCCCTGTGAAAGGGTCGTTCGACCCTCAAAGGGGTCGCGACCCACAGGTTGAGAACCACTGCCCTAAAGGATAGTTCACACTAAAAAAATGCAGTCCAGATGCATTCCGGATGTGTTTCCACATGCGAAATAGGGACTTGTGTGTGCCAGTGCATTTTTGGTGCATTTGCAGTTCTATGCAGAGAAAAAATGCAGCATGTTCTACTTTTTTTTTCTGCAACCAGAACAGAAACTGCAAGCACTGATGTGAACTATGACATTGACAACCATATAACCTACTTTCTGTGCATTTTAGATACAGAAAAAAGCAACTGAAAACACATGTAGTGTGAACTGGACCTAAAAGTTTCTAAGGTATCAAAAGATGATGAAGTTCAGGCACCTTATCATTCCAGCAAGTACATTATATTAGTCCTCGCATTGAGCCCTGTGTCGTTAAAGTGGAGCTCCACCCAAAAGGGGAAGTTCCTCTTTAAGGCTTCATCCCCAGCTCCCTGTTAAGGATAGGTACCTTTGGGGAGAGGGGGGGGGGGGTTACCTGAATTTGACAGGTATCGCTCCCACTTCCGCTGCGGTTGCCTAGGCAATCGGAAGTAGAAGTTGTCCTCCCCCCTCCTTCCCTGTAGTCTTCTGGGACATGTGACAGATCCCAGAAGACTATGGGACCATTCAGAAAACAGCAAGCTGTCGGGTGCCCACACTGAAGATGCCAGCGCTGGGGACACAAGACGGCTGGTGAGCACATAGCTGGATCATGTCTGTTTTTTAAAAGTCATCAGCTACAGTTTTTGTAGCTGTTGGCTTTTTTTTTTGTTTAATTTTGACTGGGCCTCTGCTTTAAGAACCCCACTTTAAAGTGGAAGTAAACCCTCCTATCCTTTTCATCCAAGGAAGCTACCATCTTGATCTCTGATAGATCTGCAAATGCCATGGTGCTGCACATGTGATCGGTTATGACACCAGCCTTTTCATGATTTGACAATTTGGTGGAGAGCACCAGTAAATGTGATACTTCCATTTCCAGCAAGACGGGAATGTACTGTAACTTTTTTTTGGTTTAACCGTTTATTTCTGCTTTAAGCACTATCACCTCCCAACACTCACCCCTGCCTTCACACACTTGACTATCAAATCCCAGAGCCTTTGCTCCCCACTAAACTTCTTGCATTTGAAAGTTGAATGACTGGAGGTGGGAAATAGAACTTAGACAGTGGGCTAGGGATCAACTTGGGCAGAGTTTGAGGTCCCATGTACAGCTTGAGAACAGGATCTACGGGACTCCACAGATATCAATCTGAACATTAACACAGCTACTTTAAAGCTGCCAACCCAGGGAAAAGTTTACCAGGGTGATTGAAAGTGTTATTAAACCCACAACAGTAAAATCAGTCTGTATATGCAGTAAAGCATGCTTGTTATACTCACTGTGGAACCTAAGGGGTTAATCATCTGCATTGTGTAAAAAAAGGATGTTTGATCCTCTCTTCTCTGATCCTCCCCTTCTTTCATTGTCCCCTAAGTATCTCCTGATAGAACAGAGGCTCAGGGGCAAGCTGCACATGCTCAGTTTGGTGTGTATTGTTAGAGAGTTTTTTCTTTCTTGGGAGAGTGCATGTGATCAGCACTGGGTCAATCAGTGCTGTCCAGACAGAAAGCCAGGGGTTCTGCATCCTCCTACAGGAGAATGAAAACTCCTCCTACAAGCTTTAACCAGTGCTCGGCTGGACACAGATGGAAGTCATAGGACTGCTTGTGATGAAAAAAAAAGGTATTTATCAGTTTATATTTATTAAAATGATTGCATTTCCATGTTCTGTGTACTGTGGGAGACCAGATATAGTAAATGCAGGGCCCTGGGTTTAGTAACACTTTAAAACAGCACACAGTGGCATAGTGGGTGTGGCTAATTCAATAAAGAGGTGTGGTCAGTTTTACTATAGAGCCCTGGTGTCCAACCTGTGGCTCACGGGCTGCATGTGGCCCTCTGGTATATGATGTGTGGCCCTCTGACCTCAGCTGTCTGTAGTGGGAACAATGATTAGGATAATAGCATTGATCTCTACTAGCCTCATGTAACATGATTCATTTTCATATTGTCTTCTGCAGCATATCCCCAGCCAAAAATCTAGCATTTCCTCAATCTCTGACCCTCATTTCCTTTAAGGGTCTACAGTTTCTGCTTCTCTCAAGCATTACATATATTGAATATTATGTGCAGCTCTTTGGTGATGTTGGGGCTGCATTTGAGACCCCCTTTAGCTCATAAGTTAACAACCACTGATATAGAGTGTTTTTTTATCGGAGTCTCTCTGGGAAAGATCTCCAGTCATTATTTTTTACTTACCATTAATAATATTATTATTATTATTATTATTATTATTAAAGATCTATATAGCACCGACAGTTTGTGCAGAGCTTTACAATATAAAGGAAGAGGGCCATGCTTGTAAAAGCTTACAATTTAATAGGGAGGGACGAGTGATACAAAAAGGTAATAACTGTGGGGGATGAGCAGATGGAGAAAATAAAAGTACAGTTTATTAAAGTGTTACTAAACCCATGATATTGCATTCACTGTGGTCTCCCACAGTACACACAACACTTAAATGCAATCATTTTAGTAAATATAAACTGCTAAATACCTTTTCTCATCATCAGTATACAGCAAGCTTGTGACATCTGTCAGTGTCCAGGTGAGCACTGGTTAAATCTAGTAGGAGGATTTTTCAGTCTGCTCTGACTGTCTTATGGGATTACATGACCCCTGGCCCCCTGTGCTGATTGGCCCTGTGCTGATCACATGTACCCTCCCAAAAGTAAACAGCAGATGGATTGGGGACAGTAGAAGGGGAGGATCAGAGAAGACAGGATCAAACAACCTTTTTACACAATGCAGTGGATTAATCCCTTAAGTTCCACAGTGAGTATAACAAGCATGCTTTACTACATATACAGACTGATTTTACTGTTGTGGGTTTAGTAACACTTTAAATGAAGATGGGATAGGCTTCACTAAAGAGGAGTTTTCAGGGATCACCTAAAAGAAGACAGATTAAGAGGTAGCAAGACAGACTTGGGGTAGAGAGTTCCAGAGGATGGGAGAGGCTCTGGTTCAACAAAATGTACAGAGCAGAGTGGACCTACAGCTGGAAGAGAGTGGTGAACCTAGCAATGCATCATCAGAAGACTGGTTGCCAGAACCAGGAGGAAACGGACAGCTCCCGATGACATCAGAAATGAAGATGACAGCACAGGAATTGGTGTGCGGCACAGAGTGGTGGACCATAGCAGACCAATGATGGTTTTGACAGGAACTGGGGTATATTTTTTTGCAGGCAACCCAGCTTTAAAGGTAAGAGGGGATTCAAAACAACACACGGGGATGAAGTTCCTCTTTAAAAGTCAGCTGCACTGAGTGGAAAATTACTGGCCGAGAAGTGACTGCATCAGAACAGTCACTGTGGAGTTGATTTACTAAAACTGGAGAGTGCAAAATCTGGTGCAGCTGTACATAGAAACCAATCAGCTTCAAAGCTTTAGGCTCCATTCACACTTGTGCGTGTGATTTTCATTGCAAATTTACAGTGTGACGATGCATCTTTGGTAAAACTTTGGCTTGGACCAAGGATGATTGTTTGTGCTGTACAAAGTTGCCTGTATAACATTCAGGTGCGACTTTCATGTGACTTTGGAGGGTTTACATTAAAGTCTATGGCGTTCAAGTCACATGAAAGTCAGACCAAAGTAGTGCAGGAACTACTTTCAAGTAGCTGCGACTTGAAGTCGCACAGATATGAATGGTACTCACTGGGAAACATGGGGCGTGACTTGTTATGTGACTTTGAACCCCAAAGTCATATGACAAGTTGCTCAATTGTGAATGGGCTCTTATTGAACAAGCTGAAGTTAGAAGTTGATTGGCTACCATGCACAGCTGCACCAGAATTTGCACTCTTAA